CCCAAGCTGGCTCCGCTCTGCCAGAGTGACCCCCTCCACCTCACTGGAACCAGGAGATGGGAGTATCCCCACCACCTCAGACCAGTATTCCTGCTCTCCAGTCCCCTTATACCCATGGAGCTCCCTCCATCTGGTCTCCCATTTCTGGGGAAGGGTGAACGTGGCGGGTTTCCAGTTCCAGTGGAGAAGGGATGTTCCGTGAGAGGGGAAATGAAGAGGATTGGAGAGCACTCGCTGACACTAGTTCCTCCCCCACTCACATTGGGAAGGAGACTGGAGCTGCAGAGCTACACTCATGGTCTGTTCTGCTCCCACTCGTCCCTCTGTGGGGGGAGGCAGGGGGGAAACGAAGCCATATAGGTTGCTCCTGCACATCACTGCATGCAGCTGTGGTGGTTGGAAGTGCTCCGGTCAGGGAGTATGGTAGGGGGCCATACATGTGTCCATGGCTGAAACACTCAATTTTTGAAGCACTTCAAATATTACCTCTCTCCATTCTAGCAGTTTGAGTTTAACATCTGCTGCATGCTCTTCCTCTGCCATACCTCCCCCTCCCCTTTTGAAACAGCACCAGGTGAATGTTTCTTCATGTTCTCTAGAAAAGTGGGGGCTAATCTTTTAGGCAGGTTTGCCACCAATTAAATCCTTGCACCTTTCCTGAGTGCCACTCTGATCCCCTTCCCCTGCCTAATCTGTTGCTCTGTTTTTTTACTCCCAGCTCTGTGCTTCCTGCTTGATCTGATGCTCTGCTTCCTACTCCCTGCTGCTGTGCTTCCCACCCCCTCCCCAATCTGCTGCATCCCACAGCCAAGCCTGCCCATGGCATCTGTGGCACGTGGGCTGCAGACTGACCACCCCTGCTCTAGAAGATGTCTGAAAGACTATGCCATCCTTGGGTCCACAAGGAAAACTCTGACTCCAGGTGACAGAAGGCAGGCTTTCAAGGAGAAGTATCTCCTGAAGTAAATATTGCACAATGGAGAGTGCATTGTGGATATACATTCTCAAAGTCAGAAGCAGGATACGGGGTTCAAGGAACGTTTGGAGTGTAACCGGTATGGCAGACGCTGAGACAGGACATTGGGGGAGATGGACCACTGATCTAATGCAGAACAAACACAGTGAAAGAGGGGAATCTGGACATACAGATACATGGGGGCTTGACACCAGATGCCATGGCCTGACCAACTGAGGCAGCAAAGGGCTGCACATGAATTCCCTCTGCCCTGGCATCTCTTCTGTTCCCTGGTAGACTCAGCCCTCCCCTCTCCCATCCAATGAGAGGTACAGCTCAGGCATCTCCTCACCTTCTCCTCCTCACTGTCGACCACAGCCAGGCTGGCCATCCGTGAGCTGCAGTACCTGGTGCTGCCATGCCAATCTCTCTTCTCCTCAGAGAAGTAGTAGCATTTTCCCTGGTGCAGTACCCAGCGGAGTGGGCAGTACTCGCACCGGGTCTGTTCTAGAAGGAGAAAAGAAGGTCGCACAAGAAGTGGAGCAGAGCATTTCCATTCTCTCCTCAACTCACTTTCTCACTCTCTTTATCCACCTCCCACTCCCTTCCAGACACCACCCTTTCCTCTCAGAGGCAGTACTTGCCAAGCTCCCCATGCCTTAGCCTCCTCCAGGCGAAATTGCATGAACATACAGCCCACCTGTGGCTTCCTGTGAGACTAGTAAAATGCCTCTGTTTGTGTAAAATGCAGCTTCCCACTTCCTGAGTGGTACAAGCAACACCAGCATATTACAGCCAGGTGCATTTTCTGTCACAGGTCACCCTTCACTGAATGGTCTGGCTATCATCCCTAAAGCTCAGTCAACCTAGGCTCTGGTTCACTCAGACTCCTCCCATATCTTTGTGTCTATTCATGGACACCCATGGAATGGCTCCTGCTAACCATCCCAGAGGGTTCAGAGGAGGGCCACTCGTATGGTTATGGGTTTACAGGCCCAGTCCTATGAGGAGAGACTAAGGGACCTGGACCTCTTCAGCCTCCACAAGAGAAGGCTGAGAGGAGATCTTGTGGCTGCCTACAAATTCATTGGGGAATGCAGCAAGGAATCGGAGATGCTCTGTTCACCAGGGCACCTCTTGGGGTAACAAAAAGGTCACAAACTGGCAGAGAGCAGATTTAGGCTGGATATCAGGAAAAACTTGTTCATGGTAAGGGTGGCCAAAATTTGGAACGGGCTCCTAAGGGAGGTGGTGCTCTCCCCTACCTTGGGGGTCTTTAAGAAAAGGCTGGATTGGCATCTGGCTGGGGTCATCTGACCTCAGCACTCTTTTCTGCCTAGACAGGGGGGCAGACTCGATGATCTGTTGAGGTCCCTTCTGACCCTAGCATCTATGAATCTATCATAGCCATGAGTGCCGTGGTAGACAAGGTCTCAGTCCTCACCTTTGGAAATGGTTCTTGCTGGAAAAAACAATCTGAGCTGGGCCTGTCCTTACTGGGAGTGTGGTGTAACGTTCACCTTCCTGTCTAGTCTGCAGAGCATGTGCAGGTTGTGGAATGCCAGCTGAACTATCAGGTGCCATCCTCATGTCCTTCCTGGCTGGCTAGCTTGGTGCTGCAGGGGCAGTGGCCTCTACTTTGGGAGAAAAAAAATTTTGTTCCTAAACCTACTCTGAATTACTTACACTGCACCCAGATGCTGCAGTGGCTTATGCTTCATGAATGCTTGCAGTCACAATACACCAAGTTATTAATAATAATGTTGGTCCCTGCAGGTTGGAAGGGCATGGAGTGTGCCCATGAGGCTGTTACCTGATTCCTCACTTTCTGGCTCTCCGCAAAAATATTGCCTTAGTTTGCCCAGGGTCTTCATGGCACTTCCATGGAGCTCACTGGAGATGTTCTGGGCACTGCCGAGACAGACAGGCCGAGAGCCTTGGGAGACTTCAAGAGAAATTACACGAACAGAGCTATAAGCATATATAATTCCTGAAGCAAAATGGAGGGAAAGTGAAGCTATTGCAATATCATCCTCTTTTTTACAATCACTGCTTTACACTTGTCTCATGAGGCCACATGGACCTGTAACTGGAGTGACTGGTTATGCAAAGTACAAGATGACAAGCCAGGAAACTCCTCCAGGGGCTGGGTTCACCCTACATCACTTCAAATAGCTGCAAGCTAAAAATCTCAAGGTACTGGGCTCCCAGGCTAATGTTAAGGGAGGGAGATAAAGCAGGGAATATATGATATATAACATAAGAACTGCCATACGGGGTCAGAACAAAGGTTCATCCAGCCCTGTGTATAGTCTCTGGCAGTGACAAGTAGTGGATGCTTTAGAGGTCCTGAGGTAAGTCTGACCCACTCTTGACACATCTTCCCCTTCTTGTGACTTCCCAAAGTTGCTAGAAGGAACCAGAACTTACTCAGAATAGCAAGGCCCATCACAGTTGCCAGAAGAACAATCACTGCTCCACCCAGGGACATGGTCAAAGGATGACAAACCGGAGAGGCTGAAAACACAGGGGAGAAGCTATTGTCTGGAAATAAGAATGGTTGCACTAAGGAGCAGGCTGATTATGCACTCTTCATAATCCTAAAATAGAAGGGGCATCTGTTCTACACAGCATAGAACAGCGCTGGAGCTGCCCTGTGTTAATATTGAGGCAAACCCAGTGAAGGTCCACCTTTGCCCATGGTCTGTTCACTGGAGTTAACGTTTCTAACCGTTTTAGCTTGAGTTAAGAAAAAGTGTGCAAGGCTGTGAAATAGGAGCTACATTGACAGGACAGCTAACAGGCAGCTGAATTGCAGAAGAAAGGCTACCTTGATTAGTGGAACATGAAGACCATTAAAAAGTAAAGCAGGTCATTGACACCTCTGGAATGAAGAATTTAAAAGGAATCAAGCAGATTATAATGAGACATGAAGTCAGTTGCCCCCTCTCCCCCCAGTGTGGCCTAAATAGAAAGGCTGCTGCTTCTCCCAGGCAATTTGGCTTAGACTGGGAGGAACAGGAATCAAAGTTGGGGGGCGAGCAGGGGGGACACATGCTTCACACTACTGCAGCCTCCCCCTCTGCCCCAGTTCCACCACTGTGAGCACACATGCAAAGTGGGCTCCACTTACTCTGAAGGATGACTTTGTCCTCCTATCAGTTACAACAGTATAAATCAGAAGTACCTCCATGGAAGTCTAAGTGAAAGGGGAATTAGACTCTTTCTACTCCAAGTGCTCTAACCTGACTGTGGCTGGGGCATCACGAAGCCTCAGGAAAATGAACTAAGAATAAAAATAAATGAGCTGCCGTGCCTTTCAGCTCTCCTCATAGAAGAGACTCAAGATGTCTCCGCATGTCACGTTTTCTCCCCATTAACCATGTAAAACAACATCTCACAGTGAAGGAAGTGGAAGCATGATCAGTTTGAATAGGATGCTGAACTGGAGGTTATGCAGCAAGTCCATAGTGGAGCTGTGCAAAGACTGAAGGAATCCTGATGCCCAGCTCCTGCTCTCCCCACTAGATCACACTGCCTGGTGTATAGCCCACTGCTCTTACCTGCTTCCGAACTCTTCTTCCTCCCTGGGAAGCGAAGGGCTGTGTAACCTTCTTCCTCCCCATCTCCCATTGGCAGAGCCTTTTGCAGACCAGAGCGCAGAGAAGTGGACAGCAGTCCTTGCAGGGCACAGTGAGAGTATCACAGGGAAGTCAGTAGGCAAAAAGAGTCAGTGTGGTCACCTCTACCTCAGCCAGAACACACAGGAAGCTCATGCTTTGTTTTGGTTTTAGAGAACATAGTTTAGCTCATGCTGAAAACAAGGGGTTTGGTTTCTAATGAAAAAAGGAATGCTGTATTGGATTGTGCTACAAGTGTCACAGGGGAACAGCAGTGAATTAGGCTCACAGTAGCCCTTTGATTAGTGAGGTGGCCATGAAAATGATGTAACCAGCCAATGTGAAACCTGGAAACAAGTCCAAGGCCTCCTGTCCCTTAAGATCAGTGCCCTCTTTCTCCACGGACAAAGCAACAGGGACAGTGAGTGCTAAATGAGGGAGCAGCTGAAGGGAGCAAGCACCTTTTCACCAAGCAGTTTCAGGTTGGGGTTGCAGCATCACAGCACTTTGGGTAGGTCTCCCACCGCAGGAGTCTTATGGTACTGCATGAGTACAGTGACCATATGTAGGGACCTATTTCATTTGTGATTTCGTGGATTTCATGAAAGGTGTTTTTTGTTGTATCTTTTACTGGACCTACTGAATAGCTGGGGGAATGGTTGGACATGGTTTTGGGCATTGAGTGCCCTTCCTCAGATCTGTTAAACACGTGGCCCACAGGGCTGGGCTGGAGCATGTTGCCAGCAGGACAGGCAGTTGTGTCCGGGACCACGGTGTGAAGAGAGCCAGTGCCCAGGTGCAGAGTTCTTAGGAACCCAAATCAGCAGGTGGGCTCTGTTCCCTGCTGGCACCCACAGGGTTAACACAGCCACTTTGGTCACCCATCAACAAAATCAGTGGCATCAGTGATGGGGGAACAGGCTCTCTTAAGCCCCTGGCTGCTGGCAGGGTATATGGCCCACCAAATGATTTGAGTTTGACACCCCTGAGCCAGTGGTGTTTTAAGGCAGGTTATGCACTTTAAAAGCATTGCTGATATTGTTCATTGTTCCAGGCCTGAGGAAGGGCACTTGATACCTGAAAGCTTGTCCAACAGCCCTCCCAACTATGTAATTACTTCAGTAAGGGAGATCCCCCCAAAATCCTAGCTTCTAGAAGCGTGTAAGCAATCCTGATCATGGAGAGGAAAGAGTAGACTTGAACTCCACCTATAAACTGTGTTTGCTTTGCAGCATGAATGGAAGAAAAAATTAACCTGACTGACTATGTACAGGGAGCAAGTCGCTTGTGTAACAGATGCCATGTTCACATAGTCTCTCTCCTGGAGCTAAACCCTGTTTTCCCCCGTATGTTTTAATTTGGTTGTATTTTGCCTATGACAGAAAGCTCAGAAAGCTGTTTAGATCTGGTTATGCAGTAGAGCTCCTTGATGGACCAGGGAAACTGTAGCAGGGGCTTTCTCACCCCTTTATTGAAGAAAGCATGCATTGAACTTCTTACAGATGCTTCCTCAAGCTCTTCACTAAAGCTGGTTGGAAACAATTTGGCAGTTGTCATCATTTGTCTTATCATGTAGGCAACTGTCAATCCTTTGAATCATGGTGTACACATAAGAGGTCTAGTCAGGTGCCTGATGAATCTGCTTCTGGTTGACAAGTCAAATTGAGAGTGAAAGATCCATACGTTGCCTGAGTTGGACTCCAGGTTTACAGTGTACTGCTTTCTTCTTTCTCGCTTTACTTCCACCCTCTGGATCGAAGCCACTTCATGCTGAACCAAGTGCCAGATGTTCCCTCCAGATTCAGGATTCTGCACACTCCTCCCAGCTTTCTATGTTGATGTTAAATGACTTCATATCATTTTTGCACACGTCATGGTACCACCATAGAGGGCAAGCCTGCTTTCTAAAGCCATCTCAAATTTTGCTATACAAAATATATTTGGGGATGCAGTCTCCTCCCATTCTTCTGAACTGGCCAGTCCACGCAACCTCTTCTTCTTAACAGTGGTTTCTAAGTGTGTCAGTTCTGCACGCTCTGTGTTTGGTATTCTGTCTTTCCACTTTATATTCAAGATCTTATGTAGACATGTATCATGGAAACTGTTCAGTGTCTTGATGTGCCTAGCATATATAATCTGCTTCTGAACCATACTGCAGGAATGACAGCACACAACTCTTGTAGATTCGCATCTTCCCTTAGCTCATAGTTTGCTGTTAATCCATTCATGTTTCTGTAATAGCTCGAAATTCTTAGCCGCTTTTCCAATTCTATTAGTCAGTTCAGTCTGAAGGTCAAGATTCCTGCTCATTCATAGAACCCAAGTAGCAAAAACTGTCAACAACACCAAGAGATTTATCCTCCGGTGTTATCTTAGGTATTGGTTCTTCAACCCCTTAGTACATGGTCACAGTTTTCTTGAGACTAATTGCCATCCCAAACCTCTTTCATGACTCAGAAAATCTGCCCAGGGGATTTTGCAGGGAAGATTCACTGTGGGCAAGCAACCAAGGCCACATCATCCGCAAACAGGAAATCTCTCAGAATGAGTTCTTTCACTTTGGTTTTCACTCTAAACCTTACAATGTTGAACAAGTCTCCAACTAGTCTCGTTCAAAGATAAATGCCATCATTGCTGTCCT